TCTCTGACCCTTAAACGGAGACAGTACCATAACCCTTAATTCTACATTTGCTTAAGTATGTGTTAGACAATCACAAGAAACTTACAAGTCCATATCCAAAGCAATACCGTTCTCCCAGTAGAAGCTTTCACCTTTCTTGTGCAATCCAATCCAGGAGTCATCTATTTGCAAACGTTTAGCTAGAGAAAGCTGAAGAAAAAAAAAAGCATTATTTATTTTTGTCAACATGAGCTTTTACACTGAGAAGCAAATCCCTCCTGTGACTTTTGAGAAAGACTAGTTCATCATTCTGTCACGTAGAATACTTTAATACACATTTCATTGAGAGTTAAGAGCCTAATTCTGCCTTTGAATTGACCTTTATGGTATCATAAACTTCACTGAAGTAATTCAATTCTATACCCTTGAAAATTATTACTGTTCACTGCATACAAAAATAGCCAAACACCATGTATTGGTTATGTCTGTCTATATTTGTTTATCAATCCCTACATATACAACTTGGTCTAAATAGGCTGGTACACACAAATGTTTCCCACATTTCAGATGGGCATACGGGAACTCCTCTCTTTCCCAATTATTTTAAGTAATTAAAAGTTTTTTTTTATCTGAGGATATACAGATAAAAAGACAGTTCACTGCTGCAGATGTTTGCAACAACCTGTATCAAACGCAGCAGAGAATGATGGATGATAACAGAAATCGCACTTGTGATGGGTTATTATTACAAAGTCCCTGCAACAAGCTATAATTCGACTCTGTGAACTTAAAAATGGTATACATGTTAGCTGTCAGCATGGACTGTAATGGACATGGAATAACCCTTACACTCCTCCACTTTCCCCTAGCAACTTCAATTCAATGTAGTTCACAAGAAACTATCACCATATGGTCCCAATGCCATTTCTACAGCCTCTGGTGTAACTTCTTCTGGTGTAGCTCATGCTATACAGTGCTGGAGATCAGACAACACATGCCACAGAGCACTAATCTGTCCTGGTAGGCCAATGTAAGCATTCCTGTGCCTTTCTTTCATAAGTTGTGTTTACAATTTGTAGGTATAAAGGTTTCAAGCAGCAATTTAAGTAACACCAATTTCTGCCTAGCTAATTATCAGCCGAGTATCACAGCCACCAAGTCAGAAGTGAAGCTTTCAGACAAGTAAGAAACAGAGAGATCTACAAATTTGGCAAGAGGTGATCACTCACAGGGCAGCAACACAGAAGGGGCTTGTGGAGAGGGGACAAGCCAGCAAATACAGTTGGAATTATTGGCAAAGAAAGGGTCTGATGATGGGATAAAATGAGAGATCACATTCGGTAAGGGACTCATACATGAAGTAAGAACTAGGCCCTGCATCTTTCTCATTGTGGAAATTCTTATTGCTGTAAAAATATTTATTACCTCAAGTCGAAATTAGATGTGACTTAATCTGTGTAATTTCACTGAAGTTTCCTCCATTCCAGTATCTGCTACTTCACTAATATGTACCAGCCAACCAGAAAAGTAACCTTTTGACCTCTATTCAGTAATAACAGTAACAAGAAAACTCAAATGACAATCTATCTAAAAACTAACTTTTTGATGAAACTAGTTTCCCATTGACAATGCTCAAAAGCCAGCAGATCCATAAAAGCCTATTGGAGTCTTAGTAGCATGCAGTAGCAAAATGTCACTAGCATTCACTGACTCAATGCAACTGGACCATAATACAGGCAAATCAAAGTATTTTAACAAATTTATCACCAGAAGAAAATGTCCAAACTAGCTTCAGTGGGGTTATATTCCCATCATTGGTATAAGCATACACCTTTAAGAGGCGTTAAGGCATATCTAAAAACAGATGCAAGCAGTTAAAGATGGATAACTTCCACCACGTTGAGAAATGGGTTTAAATGTTTGGTTTCTTACAGAAACCAAAGCATCCATTTCTTTGTCTGTACAGGAAGTTGGATAGATTATACCTGCTTTGAAGATGAAAGTCCATAGGACAGAAAAGTAAAATTAGGCAATCTCATTCATAACAAAGAGGTTTTCATAGTCATTCAAGTTAAATCCAGGCACCAAAACAGTATGGGGCAGCTGGTACTGCTGCTGCACTGCTGCAGCCAGAAAACTGCTTACAGTGACAAAGCAGGTACTTCCCACCACCTGAATTCACACAGTCTACTTATTTTACAAAGATTTAAAGGAAAAGTAATGCATTAAAAAAAGAAAGCTTTGTAAGGGAGAGTGCTCTGTTTTGTTAGGTTTTTTTTCTCATTACCATTTCTTGCTGGTTTTCAAAAATGACTAGCAAGGATTCATTCTTAGAGCAGAAGGTCTGACTAGATGTCCAGTTTCTTTGGTCCTCTGAGATGAAATAACATTTATTCTTGTAACCTATCCACTCACTGGGGCACTCATGAGGAGGAAATTTTCCATTGTCCCATATCTTAAATATTGCACCTACAAAGGAAAAAAGAGGACAAAATTTCTACCTGGTAAAAATCTTAGCATTCATCAGTGCAAGTCAACCTAAAATGTAGACTTTTTGAAAGCAACTACCACACTAAACATCAGAAAATAAGCCAAAGGAAATGCAAGGGTCCTGATCTTCCCTGCCTTTCAGGCCCCTGTCTTCCGCTGAGAAATGTGACAGCTGGGGGCTGCAGCCCAATTATTACAAACAGTAGAAAGTAAGTTGGGTTTGGAAAACACTCCTGAATTTTAGAGAATCGGAGGCATTCATAATTGACTATTGATTGAACTAATTTTAAATAATGAAGTTCCTTGAAGATCTGGTGAGACAGTTCATGAAGACCCTGTCCTGCTCACTGCAGGAGGGTTGGACTAGATGATCTTTAAAGGTCCCTTCCAACCCAATACATTCTATGATTCTAAGACATCATCACATGCTTTGATTTTGTATCAGATCTTTAAGTGTTTAAAAAAAAATCTATGTGAAGGTAAGTAGGTATTGCTATGCTGTTAATGAAATCTGTCTGTTAATGAAGAGGTAGAAATTATTATTTGGAGGTAATGGTTTGGAGAATGGTTCATTGGTGTTGTTCCCTGGCATGTTCTGACATCTCCTCTTCATCTTCTTTCTGTCACAGTAGCTATGTGAGGGTGATAGGACCCACTAGAGTGCTTTGTTTCAGTGCTGAGTTTAATTTCTTGCAACAAAGAGAATTAATTCGCATTTACTTCAGTTTCTATTTTCCAAACAAAAATAATCTGCCCTGACTGTTACTGAATGATTACAATGACCTTCTCTGTGCAGCACAGTGTCTTCTGTAACGCAGCCAGGCTCACCCAGTGTATAAAATGCATTTCCTGGGTCATTCTGCTGGGATCAAACTCAGACCTTCTCCACCCAAAGTACCTTTATCCACTGCTTAAGCTTGGAGCTGGATAATATTGAAATGAAAGTAACTGGCCATTATGTGAGTAGAGGGGCTTGCAGAACATTAATTGATCTCCCAGACTTTGCAGCCTGCTGTTGCTACGCTTGCTCTCTTTTCCTTTCTAATCAGCTTTTACAGAACTGGAGACCCCCTAGCTAGTTACTGACAATAAGCACAGAGGAACATGCATACACCACATGGCAAGAAACTGCACTTTTAAGAGCAGTAAGGAAAAAGCAAAAATTAAAAAAAAAAGTTTACAGCCGAATCATCTGGATTTCATCTGTAGGGAGAATTCTCTCTCCTTTTAAATTCTGCCTGGAGGTTATTCAACCTTATGAATAACATCAAAACAACTGAAATAGTGACAGGAGTCCCAGGTTTTGTGACTCTGCAGACAGTACAGTACTAATGTTGGTGCACTTGACTGCTGTGATCCTGGAGCGCAGTAGTGAGAGGAAACATACATCAAATAGAAAATTATCCAAAAGCTTACCAACTGCAATGATGATCGCCAGCATTACAAAAGCGCTGCAGAGCCAAACGACTGTGAAAAAGAAGAACATTAATGGTTTTGTCTACATGAGCACATAGGCTTAGACTATATTTCAGAATTAAGTAAGATAGCAGCAGGATAGCCTTTCATTTAAACTCCAAATATGTAAATATAAAGCACTACTGAATTCAAACAAGGCACCCTGAGCCGACATTTATGTAACTGGACAAAATGGCCAACTATCACCAAATTGGCATTTTTCTTGATCTGTATACACCCTAAAGTTTTTCACATATGCAGTGACCCCTGTATAGCAAATTTAAGCCTTTCAGTCCCAGGTTTATTGTCTTCTCTATGTTTTGGAGACCTCTTAGCAATAACATCCGAAGGCTGAGAACTCGTAGGTCATCACTGACTCCAATTAAGTTGCATCCATGTTTGGAAAACAGGTGTATGCTTTCAAATAATTCAAAGAATAAAGGTTGAGGTTCAGAGTATGGCTTCAGTCTTCAATCATGTATTCGCTTTGTCACAAGCTCTCTTTCATACAAAAATTTCAAGGCAGATAGGCAAGCCCATCTGCTGCAAAGAAACTATTTTCTCTAATGAGGTTCGGCTTCACTTTCTACTTCCTATCCAAGACTATTTCATTCAGTTAAACTATCACATGGGAAAACACCTATTTTCACACAAAAGAGAGCACATGGATGAAGCACAAACAGTTACCTAAATTTTTGTGTCTACAGCTTTGCCTAGAAGTAAACTCCCAGGTTTTGTCCTGACCAAGCCAAGGGACCTGGGACTAGATTTGAAGCTAGACTTCAGACTTCCTGCAGAAAAGTGTCTTGCCTAACACCAAATAAAAAAATTTTACCATAAACTAGTTGTCTCTTCTTGCTGGCATCTTGTTCGACCTTACTGGATTCTGCATTCCCAACAGGTTCTATCCTGGTGGTCTCAGTCATCAGTTCATCTTCAGATACCATCTGCAGCTGGGAAACCAAGAAAGAAGCTATGATTAATCAGTGCGTCCCCTACTATCCACAAATGAGTGGAAACAGTATAAATCCCAAAGCTGCCTTAGCTATTGCCTGTACCTGAGGGGATGAGGGCAAGGTAGACAAAGAAATGAGGAAACAAATATCTGAGGCCTCTGAAAGAAGAAGGTGGTATAGGAGAAAACTCACCTCCTGGGGAGGGGAATTGTAATGGAGGGAGAGGGAAGGACAGACCAGACAGGAACAATATGATAGGGAAGGGATGGGATATATCAAGGTAGGAGTCAAAGGCCACGAAAACCAGAGCTTTTTGCTTCACCATTATGTAGCTTAAAGTAGTTTTGTTTGCATGTGAAAAGTTCAGGCAGTTTCCAAATAAAGGCTGAATATGGTCAGCACAGTGAAGTTTCTCTAGCTACACTGTACCCTTCTGTGCTCACTCCAGTGAGTGATGTCTTCCTCAGTTTTTCTTAAATCCCACTTCTAATGACATAAATTTAACAGAAAAAGTCACCCAGAAAAGAACATGCAGCTATAAATACTATTGTGTCCGTGCAGAAATATCAACTCATCTTCATGAGTTAGGTCATAATAAAGAAAAAACAAACATACTACTCTTTGGAAAAGCATTCAACACCTTTACTTTCATTGCTGTTATTATTTTTTAATTGTCACATGTCTAAGAGACCTCCTAATCTCTGCAAGTTCTTAACAGTAATTGGATGCCTAAATGATTCTAAGAATCAGACTCCACTTGTGCTTGGTCCATCCTACAGAAGCAGAAAGATACTAAGGCTTGGAATGACATTCTCTAATAAGGTGCTTCTTGCCCAAAGGCCCTTATGGTTGCCCCGAACACACCCCGAAAACACTTTGTGTGTTTTAGTCCCTGGATATTTATTGTTTGGTACATGAATGTACAGTTGCTCATGGACTGGGCTTCTTGCCTCCAGCGAGCATGCTACACTTTGTTATTGTACTGAAAAAGTTTTGACTCCAGTCGCAGAAGAGTTTCTCCTAAACCTTCTCATCCACACTAGAGTAAAAAGCTTGTTCCCCACCCTAGGCGTTTGGGAGGCAACAGCAAGCAACACAGCCAGCTGGGGTGCAGGTTAAGTTACCACTCCATAACACAAGGCCATTTTTGCATATGGTCTGGTGCTGGCGAAAGATCAGTAATTTTTCGTTAAGCCACAACAAATACTTCCATTTCTGAGAGCTTATTTAACTCCCCTCACTTGAAACAAGCACATTTCCTCCTCTCCTCATTTTTCTTCTCTTTACTCCTCATTTACTTCCTCTTCAGTCCCACCTTCTCCTCGGCTTCGGCGGTAGGGTGCATATGGGCCCCCTGCCTCAGACTCGGCCTTCAAGGGCACAAAGCG